GTGGGACAGGCGGGATGAGTGGGACAGGCGGGATGAGTGGGGCGAGCGCGATTAGTGGGGGTAGCGTGCTCCGTCATGTCAATGTGTCATGTCTATTTTCATTTGAACATTTCATTTGCGTCCTTTCAATTCATTGATTGATATTCTTAATGTCGAATTTTACATTCATGCAAGTCAATATATTTTAGTTATCTTCGTAGCATTCACACAAGTCAATATACTTTAGTTATCTTAGTTACATTCATTTAAGTTTATATATTTTAGTTATCCTCGTAACATTCACACAAGTCAATGTATTTTAATTATCCTCGTAACATTCACACTAGTCAATATATTTTAGTTATCTCTATAACATTCCTACAAGTCAATATACTTAAGTTATCCACGAAACATTCATACAAGTCAATATGTTTAAGTGATGCTTGATAATTTTCACTGTTAAATAGTGTTACAGTTTCTTGACTGGGCAGACTGATGACATGGGCATCTTCAACACCTCCCTGAGCAACGAGCTCCTCCTTGTGGCTGAAGTAAGTCATGAACAGCATCAGTGATGTATGTAGAATATTTATGCTTTGCTTATGTCCATTTTAATTTTTATATATTCTATATATAAAAAATAAGTATAATCTATGAAGGAATATTAATAAAATCTCTGTTCCCGCTATAGACGTTTGGCCTGACGCCGGCACAGCTGGTGCGTCTGACCCTCACCGCTGCGGGTGCAGCACTGGCCCGCCAGCCGCTCAAGGCCGCCCTCGTCGACGCCATCTCGCGCAAGACCAACGAACTTTTGTCCGCCTTCCACGCACAAGATGATTCGTAGCGATAAAAGCCGGGAAAATTATGCCTTAATTCATTTATTCCCTGTCTTGGAGTTATTGTATTATGTGGGATAACCGCGTCGATGCATAAATTAATATGCAATTACATTATAGTTAATAATATAGTGTAACCTAAAGTAAAAGTTATATTATAATTGTTACTAGTAACAGTTATAGTATAACTCGTACTATCAGCATAAAATATAAGTTGGTGTGCTGTTAAAGTTGGTGTGCTGTTATGTACATGAGAATTATGTCGAATTAGCGTACTGAGTGAATCATCGAGTGAAGATTCCGTCTGTCGGTCTTGCCGGTGGCCATTTTGCGGCTTAATTACTTGAATTTACGAGTCTGTGGCGTCCGAATTTACGAGACTTGAATTACGAGTCGCTGGCAGACAAAGTGAATAAAGCGTAGTTAATTCTGACTTTAATTGATACAATGATACTGAACTTGTGTGAAGGTGTTGAGAAGAATAGGAGTGTGGGTTGAAGCGATATAGAGCGAGTAAGACGCGGTTGTATCGTGGCCGTGGGACGGGGTGTTGTTTACATTGAACTTTGGCGAGCCTATCGCGAGGGAAATTCCATCAGTTGAGGAATTCGGCGTCATTTCGAAGGGTTGACTCAACCGTACGCGACGTCTGCCTATATAAGGACCCTAGGATTAGCACCAAAAGCTTTTAATGTAGTCTTGGTCACGAGCACGGTCTGCAATCTGCGGGCATTGTGAGGCCGTTGGATTCGCCGTTTTCG